GCAGATTCTCGCGCTCGAGGAGGTGGGCCAGTGGCCGCCGGCCGCCGCCGGCAAGTATCAAGCCACTGGAACTGGAGGTGCAGGTGGTGCTGGCGCTGGCGCTGGCGGCTTCCTGAGCGATATCGCGTCGATCGGCGTTCGCGGGCCCAGCCTCGCCATCGCTGCGGCGACGGGCACGGGCGCGGCGGCCGCGGCGGCGGGAAGGTGGGTGGTTGGATCTGATGAGAGAATACGAAAGAGCCGGGGGGGAATATGGCTTTTTAACTACCCCCAAGATGGCGCAGCATTTTTGAGAGAGGTGCGGAGCGGCTGTGCGGACAGCGGAAAGCAGGTGCCACTCGCTGCGGAGATATCAACGAATTTTGATCAACGCTCGTGCGGATGGTTCCAATGGCGCGTGGGGCTCCTGCCCGTGTCCGGGTGTGGAGATGCGCGAGGGTCGGCCCCCTGCCCCACCACTTTGTGTGTGTGGAGAAATTTACCTTACCTTACCTTACCTGTTCATGATAATAAAAAACGATACAGGCGCCCGTCGCTATGGCGGCTTGCGCTGGGTGATGTCCTGGTCCACGGCAAAAGACGGCGCCAGGAAGACCATGACGCCACCCACGCGCAGCGGTATGACGCCGTGGTAGGCGGTGCGCGGCACGCCCGCCTTGAGGTCCTCCATGATGCCCAGCTGCTTGCAGAAGCCCAGCAGCACCTTTGGCGTCGAGTAGCGCACCACCACGTCGCCTCCGCCGCTCGCGGTGAAGGAGCGGTCGATGACTCTGCGCAGCTCCACCTCGCGCGCCGCGGCGACCCGCGCGGCAAACGGAGGGTCGTACGCGGCCTTGAGCAGAAAGCTGAGATTGCGGCCGGCCCAGGCGGGGGCGGCCTGGTCGGAGAACTGGATGGGCGCCAGAAACTTGATGTAGAACTGGGAGAGAGACGTCCCCTTCTGCCCAAACGTGCGCGAGCGGCTCGTCTCGGGCCGTATCGACGCGCGGCCCTGCCGCTGCGGCGGCTCTCGCATCCAGTCGTCCCAGAAGCCGCGCTCCTCAGGCCAGCCGGCGCCAATCTCGGCCCACAGCCGCCGTGTGAGCAGCCAGCCGAGGCCGGGGAAGAAATCGGAGCGGTAGAGGGCGGACGTGTCGGAGGAGTAGCGCGGCTGGCCGTTGTCGTTGAAGGCGGAGACGGCGAGGAGGGTGTCGTCCTATTCGTCATCAGCCAACGAGTTATGATACTAACGGTGAAGAATCAACGGCTGATAGCGGCGAGGGTTGTCGTCCTGGTAGAGGAGGGGCGCGGTGGCGTTGAAGTAGTCGAAAAAGTCGGGCGCAACCTCGATGTCCTCCTCGAGAATGATCACCCCCTCGTAGCGCGCCGCGTCGGCGAACAGCGTGCGCAGCGCCCACCCGTAGTGTACCGACAGGTACGCGTACCCCGGCGCCTTTTTCAGAAACTTCTCGGCGCGCGACAGGTCGAGCTGCCGGCGCGGGTGGACCAGCCGCCGCGCCCCGTGCTTGGCGATGACTCGCGCGACCTCGTCGTTCTCCCCGTCCTGCGACACGTACACTGGCCAGTTCGCGCCGCCCGGATGCCTCAACATCACCGAGCCGAGCGCGCGGTCGAGGTAGGAGGCGCGGTTGTACGCGATGACCAGGACGGCGATGCGAGGCGGCGTCAGCGCGCCCGGCGTCCAGTCCACGTACGCCACCAGGTCGCGCCGCGCCAGCTTTGGAGGCCGCGCCGCCCCCGGGTCGGCCGCCGCCGCCGCGGAGCCCGCCGCCGCCGCCGCCGGCTCCGGCAGGAGGAGGTCGGCGCGCCCCTTTTGGCCGCGTGCGCTGCTGAGCTTCTGGAGCATCCGCGCCTGCTGGTCGAGCGACTTTTGCAGCTGGTCCATTACGCGCTGCAGCTCGCGGTCCTTCTCGTCGGCGAGCTGCTGCAGCCGCTGGTCGCACGCCGCGGAGAAGTAGAGCCGGGCGTTGAAACTGAGCATCAGCAGGATGAGCGCCGATGCGACCGCCAGCACGGCGGTGCTCGTCGTCAGCCGCGGCTCCCGGCTCGAGCCCGGAGAGCGGCGCATCGATGACGTCGATCGCTTGCAGGCGCGCGCTGTTTTCTCTTTTGTTGTAAGATTCTCTTTACTCGAGTACCGGCTGGCCTGGCCTGACTGTTGTTCATCTTTCTACCTACCTACCTACCTGGGCGTGCGCAACCTTGCTTGCACTCTGCACTTTGCACAAGTCGCGCTCACTGGCGCATATTCTCGCCAGAATAGTGCCTCCGCGGCGCTGCGGCGGCGCCCGAAAGGCCGATCCGACCCGGCAGCCTCCCGGAGCGTGCACCCAATGAGTGTGTGTGTGTGTGTGTGTGAAAAAAAAACCGCCAATGGCAGTTACCAGTTGTGCGGCCGTCGCCGCGGCTTCGTCTCTGCCGCGGCGGCTGCTGCGCGCACGCGGCGGCGCCGCTCTCTCACGAGACGGCTGGCGACGCGGCTCGCCGCCGACGTACGCTGCGCTCGTCCGACCGACCGCGGCGTGGCGTGCGCGGCGCTGCGTGCCGCTCTGCGAGCGCTTCTGCGCTGCTATCACCCTGCACTGTCTCTCTCTGGTGCTGCTGGTGGTGGTGATGGTGATGCTGCTGGTGCAGATGCTGCTGCTGGCGCGGCGCGGAACTGCGACTGGGCTCGACGCGCGCGTCGCGAGCATCTGACCCGGCGGGCGGCGTCGGGCAGGTGCGCTTCTCTCTCTGCGTGGTGGTGGTGCTGCTGCTGCTGCTGCTGGTGGTGCAGATGCTGCTGCTGGTGCGGCGCGGCTCTCCGACTCGGCTCGGCGCGCGCGTCGCGGCAATCTGACGCGGCGGGCGGCGTGGCGGGCGGCAGCGATTGCGGCTCGACGGTGGAGGCGGAGGGTGGTGGCTGTGGTGGACCTTTGAGTTTATTTAATGGTCGAGTACGAGGACTGGGGGGTCAACAGGGAGGCAGGGGGCCAACCAGGCGACGGAGGACCGTGGGCCATCGCGGGGACGGGTCCGTCCGGAGGGCGAACCCGGCAGATCCGGATGGTCTTCACGCCGGTGGGAGGCACCGAGGCGTCTTGGACGCTCCACTCTACCTTAAGCTCCTGAGGGGCGCGTGGTTCTAACCACGTAGTATGACTACAACCCACCACAGACACCCTCCCTGCTCCACACGTGTGCACACTCCCTCACCCTCTCCTCTCTCCTCTCTCTCTCTCTCCTCTCTCTCCTCTCCTTGTCTGCTGTCTGCCTGACTCAGGCGCAATCTGCCGATGCGAGATTGTGTGTGGGCTGCTCCGAGGGGGCCCTCTGTGCGATCCGACGGGTAGGGGGGCTGTGCCCGGGCGGTGTCCGGTGTGGAGTCCCCTTCTGATCCCGCCTGGGATGTTGGGTGTGAGGTTGTGGCGGCTTCGATCCCAAGGGGGGGAGCTGATCCCACTCAATAACCAACTCTCAGGGGCAGTAGGTGGGCGAGCTTGGAGCGCGCTCATCTCGATCGTCAAGGCGTCGCTACGGTACGCGCGGTCTTCCCACTTCCGCGGGGGGAGCTTCGCCGACGGGTGCGGGACCGCGGCGCAGCCAGTGCCGTGGCGATGCCTCCGGCTGTTTGCGGCGGGCGGCTTGCTGCTCGCTGCATGGCGAAAAACTCGTCTCGCCACACGCCAAGGGCTTATGCTCTGTGGCGAGACGTGAGGCGCATGCGCGAGCGCGGACACCAGCACGCCACGCACTCTCGCGCGGGGCTGTTCACCGCGCGCTCACTTGCTGAGCGACGCGTAGCAGAAGAGGTTGGCCGGGTCGTACTTTTGCTTGATGGCGCGCATCTTCTCGACGCAGCCCTCATTCTGGCTGGGCAGGACCGAGTGCGTGTCCGTGTCGAGGGTGATGGAGCCCGCTTCGTTGAGCCGCATGTCGGTGACGACGCCCTTCATCGACATGAACTCCTGTCGGCGGGGAGAGGGGGGGGGGGGGGGGAGGGGAGGAGGCGGGCGAGGGGGGGAGGCGAGGGGAGGCGGGAGGGGGGGCGGGACGGGGGGCGGGAGGGGGCGAGGGGGTGCGGGAGGGCGGCCTCGCAGGCGCCTTGGCACGAGACTGCCCGAGATTACCCGAGATTCCCCGAGATTACCCGAGATTGCGAGTGTAAGCACCCTTGTTTGTCCCCCAGGGTCTTGGTGGAAAATAAAGGTGGTAATAGAAGCTGCCGAGGGGGTATGCACCTAAGCTCATCGGATCGATGAACCGTCGCACCATTTAGACGGGTTGACGTCGAAGGGGCAGTTATTAAGGAGTTATCCTCGCAGAATTTCGGTCTGAGCCGCTGTCGCAAATCGTGCAACCGGCGAAATCGACACAGCCATACGGGGTGTGGACCGTGAGTTGACCAGGGGTTGTGCGCCGGGCCCTCCTGCTCGGCTCCAGCGAGTAGACAAGTGTTACCATCAACAGAGGAGAAGGATCTGACCTCAGGGCTGATGTGACCAAGCGCTGGTAGCGTGGTTTTACCTCACACCCATGGTCTCACAGTGTGCCGGCAGTCGCCGAGCAGTGTCGCTCACCACAAGCCGCAGCACAAGTGACTGAGGGCCAGTGAGGGCGAGCCCATCGCTGTGACAGCTGTGGCAGCCGCACAATAGGCTGTGTCAGCTGTGCAGAGTGTGTGAGCAGCAGAGGAGCTGCTCTCCAGGCTTCTGTCGCAAAGAGATGCATGCCACCGAAAGCGCTGTCGAGGTTCGCCGAGCGCGGCGCAGGTTGCTGGTTGGAGGACACCGTCACCGACGAGCGCGTTGGACTTTTCACTCCGGACAAAGACGGCCACACGCACACGAGCTGCGGTCGTGTGGCCGTCATAGTGGCGAGGCGCGGGACCGTCTGTGGCGAAGTGGGTCGCGTCCTCCGATTTCCTCAACTCACGGTCCACACCCTTTAGCCTTGATCATAAAGTACGACCAGACCAGGGAAGAGCATCACAGACCCGAGGGGACAGCGTGGACGACGCCTCAAGGCGGGCGGCCCAAGCCCTGATTGTGCTGAGGCCGCGGGGGCGCCGGGTCTTTTGAAGATGCGACGCGCTGCAGGGGACGGTGCGGCGCGTCGCGCAGCGTGCCGCTGCCCGCGCCGTCGGCGGCTGCTGCACCCAGGCCGCAACAGTCGAGCTTGAGGACGCGCACGAGCCAAGCGACGGGGCCCGGCGCTACCGGCAGCGCCGAGAGGCCCGCCGGTGGCCGCTGCCGCTGCCCTGCGGCGTCGTTGTGCGAGAGCAGGCGGCAGACACGCGCCTGGCGAGGGGAGGGGGGGAGGGGGGCGACAAGGGGGGAGCTGTGGACTGGAGGCTGTGGCGGTCGCGCGCTCTCTCGGGGGAATCTCGGGCGATCTAGGGGGATCTCAAGGTGATCTCATGGTGATCCCAGGGTGATCTCGCACGCTCGAGCAAGCTCCATCTCGGCTCCATCTCGGCTCCGACTCGGCTCCATCTCGGCTATATCTCGCCCACTCCACGGGCGTGGGCGGATCCAACGAGCAGACGCCTTGAAGAGCAGCCAGGCGTGATATGGCTGAGATCTAGCCGAGATACAGCCGAGATACAGCCGAGATACAGCCGAGATACAGCCGAGGTGTAGCCGAGGTGTAGCCGAGATATAGCCCTTGGTGGATCAGCCAAGTGGTTGGCTTTGATCTAGCTGGAGAGGGGGGGGGGGCACCGAACCGCGCCTCTCGGAGAATCTCGGGCAATCTCGGGCAAGCAAGGTCGAATCTCGGCCAGATCTCGCTCAATCTCGCGCGCCCGATGAGGAGTTGATGTAGTACGTCACGCCTTCCGGCGTCGCGGCGACCTGCCATGCCGCCTCCGCCCCCGCCTCTGCCGCCGCCTCCGCCCCCGCCTCTGCCGCCTCCTCCGCCGCCTCCGCCGCCCTCGCCTCCTCCGCCGCCCCCGCCTCCGCCGCGTCCTCCGCCGCCGCCTCTGCCGCCTTATCCGCCGCCTCCGCCGCCTCCTCCTCCGCCGCCGCCTCCGCCTCCTCCGCCTCCTCCGCCTCCTCCGCCGCCTCCTCCGCCGCCTCCTCCGCCGCCGCCTCTGGCGCTGCCGCCGCCTCCGTCGCCCTCTCCTCCGCCACACTAGCCGCCGCCTCCGCCACCATCGCCGGCGGCGCCGTCGCCGTCGCTGGCGCCAGCGTCTCCGTCACCGCCTTCTCCGCCTCTGCCGCCTCCGCCGCCTCCGCCGCCGCCACCTCCGCTGCCTCCTCCGCCTCCTCCTCCGCCGCCTCCGCCGCCCTCGCCGCCGCCGCCGCCGCCCCCTCCTCCTCCGCCGCCCCCGCCGCCCTCGTCTCCTCCGCCTCCTCCGCCGCCCTCGCCTCCTCCGCCCCCCCCTCCTCCTCCTCCCCCCCCTCCTCCTCAGCCGATTCTGCCTCGGCAGCCCCCCGGACAGCGCCGGCCGCAGCATCCGACGCTCGAGCTTCGGCTGCGCGCGGTGTCGACAGCCGCGTGCCCGGCGAGGGCTCCGACGCCTGCGATCCTTGAGGCGAACCTTGAGGCGACTCTTCGGGCGCATTGCCCGGCTGCCTTGCATCGTCCGCTTGCTCGGTACGAGCAGTTCGGTCGGCGTGCGCTGCGCCAGGCTCGCTCTCGGTTTCCAATGCCTCCAACGCGGCCGTCGACTGCGCAAGCAACTTGATCACGTCAGCGTCGTCCGGACCCTCCACCAGCAGCGCTCGCAGCTCCGACTCCGCCCGCCGCGCCTGAAGCTCGACGCGTGATGCGGCACAGGCGTCCTGGCTCGCCGCCTCGATACACACCTCGATGAACTCTCCAGCGGCCACCTCGTGCCTGGCCTGCAGCTCGGTCGTTTGTTGCCCGGCCGCGCCTCCGGAGGCCGCTTGCTCGTGTGCCGCCGCCGCTGCCGCCTCCTCCGCCACCCTCGCCACCTCTGCAGCCGCCGCCTCCCCCGCCGCCTTTGCCGCCACTGCTGCAGCTCTCTCCTCCTCCGCCGCCGCTGCAGCCACCGCCGCCGCCGCAGCCAGCGCCGCCGCCGCCAGCGCCGCCGCCGCAGCGTCTGCCGCCGCCTTCTCTTCCGCCGCCTTTCTTTCCGCCGCCTTGGCCTTGGACGCAGCCACCAACTCCGCCTCCGCCGCCGCCTTCTCCGCTGCCGCCGCTCTCGCAAGCGCCGCCGCCTCCTCCTCCTGCGCCTTCGCAGTTTGCAGCGCAGCCTCCGCTTCCGCCCTTGCCGCCGCCCTCGTCGCCGCCCTCCGTGGCCGAGCTCTCTCTGCGTGACCCGCTGCCTCCTGCTCGTCGAGCGGCTGCTTGGCCGCCCAGAAGCCCGCCTCCCTCGCCGACGCCGCATCTTTTGCCCCCACCGCCGCCTTTGCCACCGCCGCCATCAGCTCCTCCTTTCCCTCCGCTGCCCTCTCTGCCGCCGTCACCTCCTCCTCTGCTGCCCTCTGTGCCGCGAGCATGCCGCACGCCCTTGCCCGCTGCGCCTCCACCAGCGCAGATTGCGACGCGCTAAGTCGCATCGCATCGAGCTCGTTGAACACGGCCTGCGCCTCGGCCGCCTCGTGCAGCTTCAGGTGCATCAGTGCCCGGCCAAACGCATATCGCGGCTCGGCCGGGCAGAGAGCGCTCGCCTATGGGTGTGAAGTAGAGAGCGATTGAATAGGACGGTGCCAGGCAGCAGGGATGGACGAAGCAGGCGGCATCGTGCGGCGCGGCGGCAGAGGTCCGTGCTCACCTCCTCGTAGAGCCGGAGTGCGTTCCTCGCTTTGCCCGCCGTTTTTGCGCTCGCGTCCGCTTCGGCGCTGAGCTCCTTGGCGGTCCTTGGCCGACTGAGGGTCGGGTGAGGCATCCTTGGGTCAATCGAGGTTATGCACGCAGCACAACAACCGGATGCGAGAAGAGAGGACAGTCGAAGCGCCCATTGAGAACCGTGGTTTTTGGTTGGGTTGTTGGTTTGGGGCGGGTTGGGCTTGTTGGGTTGTTCCGGTGAGGTTGGGTCGTCGGCGCGAAGGGTGAGGTCTCGACCGCCGCCGCTCACGCCAGCGGACGGCCACCATCGGTGTTGACTGTGTGCACTCCAAGTGTGCTCCAAGTACGGGACTGGATTTTGGCGCTGTGTCTATACCGCTGCTTCTGCAGGCAGGCAGGGAGGGGGCAGCCAACTACAAATCCGATGCAAGACGAACCCCCCAGAAAAGCCAAATAAAACAAGAACCAAACAGACGTGACGCCGACCGCCCGCGACCGGCGGCGCACGGGCGGCTCACTGGCAGCGGCGCCAGAGGACGGAGAGGCGGTCGATCCGCACGAGCTCGTCGGTGATGCCGTGCTCCGAGCGGTAGTCGTCGACGGCGCGGCGGCACTCCTCGAACGCGTAGTAGTCGTCGACGATGCAGAAGCCGCCCACGGCGAGGCGCGGGTAGCAGTGCGTCAGCGCGTCGCGGGTCGACGGGTAGAGATCGCCGTCGAGGCGCAGCAGGGCGAGCGTCGCGAACGGCGCCGTCGGCAGCGTCTCGGAGAAGAAGCCTGGCAGGAAGACGACTTGCTCGTCCAGCAGCCCGAGCCGAGCGAAGTTGGAGCGCACATGCGGCAGCGTGCCGCCGGCGCACGCCCCGAGTCCGGGGGGGCGGAGGTGGTGGCCGTGCGTGAGGTAAAACATGAAGGAGCGGACAGTGTCGTCCGACGCGTGCCCGACGTTTGAGGGGAACGCCTGAGTCAGGGGAGTGTCTCGGAAGTGTCTCGGAAGTGTCGTCGGACGCGCGCCCGACGTTTGAGGGGAACGTGCCGTTTGGTGCGGCATGAGCTTGCCGTAGAGCCAGCGCTGCGACGACAGCGGCAGCCGGTAGGCAACCGCGCCAAGTGCGACGTACCAAGGCCGCACGAGCGCGACCCGCAGGGGCGAGGGCGGCGGCGGCGGCGCGGCGAACGCGTCGCAGCAGTAGACGCGCCGTTTCGTGTCCCCGTGCGCGCAGGGCGGCGCGCATGAAGATACACGCGCCGCCCTTTGCGCAGCCTGCCTCGAGCAGGTCGCCCTCGATCCCCTCGGCGACGAGTGCGGAGATGCACGCCTGGAGCGAGTCAGGGAAGTGTCTCGGAAGTGTCTCGGAAGTGTCTCGGAAGTGTCTCGGAAGTGTCTCGGGAGCGGAGAGAGGCACGCCTGGAGCGAGTCGAGCCGGCGGAGTCCAACCATCGACAGGGTGTTGAGTGAGACGTCCTCGCCCATCACCCGCGCGCGCAGCGAGAAGGTCCTCGCCAGCTCCGGCGCCGGCCGACCCTCGTCGGGTGAGCGGGAGAGCACGACTTGGTGCGACTGCTCATGGTAGCAGAGGTTGAGGACGATCCGCTTCATCAGGTCGAGGTAGAGCTGTGCGGGCGGCGCGCCGCCGGGCAGCGGGCCCAGCCCGTGCGCCTCGTACTCCGCCTCGCTCGGAGGAGGCTCGACGGGTGGCGCCGCCAGCGTGAGCGCGACGCCGATGCACGCGATCCAGCCAAAGACCAGCGCGGCGCAGATGGGCGACGAGATGAGCGGCGCGGACAGAACACCGAGGAGTGCGGCGGTGGCGGAGGCGGCGAGCGTTGCCTCAACCGGATAGCTCATTTTTATACTCCCTGGAAGCCAGGCCTGAAAAAAGAAATCGGCACGAGGACAGTGACGCATGCTGCTCTAGCCTCACATGTCACTTCCTGTCGTGTGTTGTTTGTTGTGCTCTTGTTTGTTTCTCTTGGCACCTTGGAGTGCTGGGGGGGGGCGACAGGGAGGATATGGCCTTGAGTTATGTGTACGCCAACTCAGGGTGTGTGGCAGCCAGCTGGCTGTGTGTCTTGTGAGCCTTTTGTGTCTGTGTGTCGCTCGTGCGTGTCGTCATCATCTGTCCAGCGTCCACCCATACCGCGTTGGTGTCCAGTCCGAGCCTGGCTGTTCTTCACCTTTCTACCTACCTACCTAGTGACGCGAGGCGGCTGGTGAGGGCGCGCACGGCGGGACGGGGCGGGGGCGGGGCGAGGCAGTGGAGGAAGAAGCGACAAGGGAGAGAACGACGAGAGTAAAGAAAGAAAGAAAACAGACAACCCAAGGGAGGGATGGGAGGACGGCACGCCGCCACCACACAGGGATTTTAAGGAGAGGTGTGTGGTGCGCTAGCCGTCGCCCACCCTAGGGAGTGGGACGACTGCGAGAATTAGCGAGAACTTTGTTAGCGAGAAACTGCGAAGAGAGGTAGGAAGTACGCCCTTATAGGAAGAGGCAGACGCCCGAGGGTGTGTGTGTGTGTGTGAAAGCGCCATCGCAACTGCCAAGAGAGGTGTCCGTTTTTATTTATTTATCAGGCTCGGACTGGACACCAACGCGGTATGGGTGGACGCAAGACAGATGATGACGACACGCACGAGCGACACACAGACACAAACAAGCTCACAAGACACACAGCCAGCGGGCTGCCACACATCCTGAGTGGGCGTACACAGGGGCGAATGGTAGAATTCTTCTAACCAAGGTGGCACGCCCCCGCGCGCGGCCGAGTGATGCGGCCGAGCCTGCTTATCCTGCTCGCATCAGCCGCCGTTCCGCGATCCTTGGGGCAGAGCCTCTCGCTCCGCGCCGCGGCGGCCGCGCAGCGGCACGCGCGGCACCAGCCCGGCGGCGGCCACCCGCCGGACGAGCGTGTGACGGCGGTGCTCAACACGTTCAAGCGGCCCGATATGCTGCGGCGTGCGGTGGAGCACTACACCCAGTGCGACGTGGTCGACGCCGTGCGCGTGGTGTGGACCGAGGGAGGGACGCCGCCGGCCACCGACGGGTGGCGCATTGGCGGAGCTGCCGGCGTCGATGGCGCGCCGCGGGTGCAGTTTGACGTGCTGCCGGACTCGCTCAACAGCCGCTTCACGCCGCTGCCCGCGCTCCGCACGCGCGCCATCTTCGCCGTCGACGACGACGTCGAGGCGCGCGCGCGATGGGCGTGGATGTGGCGGGAGCCGCGGAGCAGTAACCCGGACCGGCTCCAATCTTCCTCTGCCGCAGGCTTCGTGCGACGACCTCGCGCTGGCGCTCGAGGCGTGGAGGAACGCGGAGCGCACCCTCGTCGGCTTCTACCCGCGGCTGCACGTCTGGCGGCGCGGGCGGCTGCAGTGCGCAGACAGAGAGTCTAGTGCGGGCAGATAGAGGAGAGGCGAAACACGGCCAACATAGCCACAACACAGCCATGCCGGGTGTTGGGGCACCGGCGCGGCATCGGGTGTTGGGGCACCGGCGCGGCATGGGGGGACGCAAGGGAGGGGAGAGAATGGCGGGGGGGCGATGGCGCCAGATCCGGTCTCCAAGCTCGGCTCCCCTCAGGGTAGCTGATACGATACCACAGGGTACCACAGGTGTAGCACCATAGGTGGTGTGCTATAGCACAGCTGGTGTGGTAGCACAGCTGGTGTGGTAGCACAGCTGGTGTGGTAGCACAGCTGGTGTGGTAGCACAGCTGGTGTGGTGCGTCCACTGAGAGGCGCCGCGCCTGCCGGCTCCCAGGTACCACAGCTGGTGGTACGTCTGGTGGCACGGCGAGTACTCGATCGTGCTGACGAAGGCGGCACTACCCCCACCCACCCCCTTTTCTTTTCCCGCACCCCCCTTCCCACCCCCCGCATCCTCTCCGGTATCCCCCCCCCCCCCCACCACCACCACCCTCCCCCAACCCAACCCTCTCCCCTCGCCTCCTCTCGCCACCGCCACACCCACGCCAGAGTCCCACACCACCACACACCCACAAACCCACCTGCACCCGCCGAGCTCTCACTCACGCGCGCGCGCGCCACAGAGCGCTATGGCTGCGAACAGGCGGCCCTTCTGCACAAGGACTATCTCGAGGCGTACACGCGCCAGATGCCGCAGCCGGTGCGTACATGAGTCGTTCACTCTCAGCCCTCGCAGATGCCGCAGCCGGAGTCTCCCGAGATGACCCGAGATTGCCCGAGATCGCGCCAGATGCCGCCGGCAAGAACAGTCATCGCAGGCCTCGCCTTGGCCACTCACTAGAGGGGCATGTGCATGCACATGCACATGCACATGTCCACGTGCAGAGGGGCACGACGACCCGTCTCGACCGACCGGTAGCAGAGGGGCTCGCGGTCCTCCCCGTCGCCACTCCCTCGCCACTCCCCCAACCTCCCGCCATGTCCGCGACTATGTCGACCGACTTTGAACTGCGATCTCGGGTAATCTCGGGTAATCTCGGGTAATCTCGGGTAATCTCCCGCCAGGTCCGCGACTACGTCGACCGGCACATGAACTGCGAGGACGTGGCGATGCAGTTCCTCGTCGCCAACGTCTCTGGCCGCCCCCCCCTCTTCGTCCGCTCCTCCCTCGGCGACCTCGGCGTCGTCGGCGCGAGATTCGCCGAGATTCGACGAGATTCGACGAGATTCACCGAGAGGTTTCCGAGAGGTTTCCGAGAGGTTTCCGAGAGTCGCCGGGAGTGCTCCCTGCCCCACGGACCCCCCTCCCCCTTGCGCAGGCGGCATCTCCACGCGCGGCGGCCACATGGCGCCGACCCTCCGACAGCCTCCACGACCTCCCCCTCGACCCTCCCCCTCGGATCACAGCAGTGAGCTCCTACCCCCGCTACGCGGCAGGTGGAGCGCTCCGACTGCCTCAACGACATCCACGCGCTGTTTGCGGGAAGCGACGCGGCCGTCGTCACCGCGCGGGCAAAGCGCGAGGTGCCGCCTCGTGAACTAGCCGTTCATGCGCAGTTGAGTAGCACTTGATTAGCGCGGGCAGAGCGCGAGGTGCCGCCTCGTGAATTAGCCGTTCATGCGCAGTTGAGTAGCACTTAATTAGCGCGGGCAAAGGGCGAGGTGCCGCCTCGGGGGAATCTAGGGGAACTAGGGGAATCTAGGGGCAAAGGGCGAGGTGCCGCCTCGGGACGGGGGCCCATCTCGGTGTCTTGATGGCTGGATCGGCCATGCTGCATCGTCCCTGCCGTCAGGGATGTGTCCACTACTTGACCCGTGCACGTGCACCGCACCGCTCAGGTCCCCCTCGTGGCCAGCCACCTCGTGGTCGGGCGAGCGGGCTCGTGGCTCTCGAACCAGCCGGCGACCTGGTACGAGTTCCTCGCCTCCGACCTGCCCATCCCGATCCCCGCCCAGATCGTCCTCGCGCTCCTGCTGGCCGCGGCGCTACTCCGCCTCGTCTACGAGTGCTGCTGCGGCTCGCTGCGGCTCGGCCCGCCGCGCAAGGCCTCCTCCTCCGCCGCTGCTTCCTGGATGCCCGTGCGGCAGAGCTCGCCTGAGGAGTGGTGCTCGGATCCGGCCTCGCTCCTCCCCGCCAGCGGCGCCGTCCGACTGCACGTGAGCTGACACGCAGCGGCTCCTTATCTTTCCGGGTTCGGGCGCGGGTTCATAGTGGTTCTCACATCTCAGCTGGGGGCGTGACCTTGTGTGTGTGTGTGCGTCGACTTCAAGTTGCGAGTTGCGTCGAATGACTATATACCACGTAACATTGCAATATGACATAAAGAGCACAGTCGTCAGTCCGCCACGACGACCCGGGACACCTTTACCCGGGAGTGCACACCCACCGACACGCGACACGCGCGCAGACGCCAGACCGGGACGGCGGACGTTCTCGGCGCTGCACTGGGCCTTGGTGCAGTGAAAATGTTGCCAACTATCGTCTACATTAGACGTGGAGTCGCGAGGGTCGCCCCCCTCTTGCCTCACCACCTCGTGTGCGCGGAAAAGTTTACCTTCAGCTTGAAGCGACCAATGATAACTTTCACACCCGGCGAAACGAATCGTAATTCGTATGCGTGGGGGTGCAACCGCGCCACGCAGCCCCCGGCGCGCTCGGGCGCAACCCCTTGATGCAGCATGGTGAACTGGGCTGGCGACACGCAGCCGAGCGTCAGGTCGTGTGTGAGTGAGCAGACGGTGAGCAGCGTCCCTGCGCGGCGGAGAACGACTCGGTCGACGACGGCAGCAACGCACGCCGAGGGAGTCGCCGACGCCCTCTCTGCTGTGAGAGTCTACCGCGAGAACACGACCATCGTCGACCGCGAGGAGAAGGTCCTCCTGGCACAGCTGGAGGGCAACGAGGCGCTCCCTTCGTCCCGCTCGGCAAAGTCTCACCTCGGCGAGCGATCATCTTGGGGCTCCTCCACCAACGGCCGCTACTCGCGCCTCGGCGACATGGAGGCGGGTGCCATCGCTGAGGTCGATGAGGCACTCTGTGAGGGCTGCGTGCCCACCGACCACTCGTGGGTCTGGCCAAGTATGGCCCGTCTTCGCGGCGTACTCCTCAATGAACTGCAGGTCGTCCTCCTCGTGATGCCTCTCGTGACTAGCAGAAGGACCTCACAATTGCAGAGGTCCTCACCAGAGGTCCTCACGCAGATGCCTTGACCATCGCGCGGCTGGCAGGCGAGGGCTGCCCAAGCTGTCATGCAGACCGCGAAGAGCATCCGAAGCGATGGCACGCACGAGCGAGGACGAGGGGATTTGTTTCTTGACCGAACGGGCCAGCGGATTGACAGACAACGCGACGATTGGTTGGTTATCGCAAGGGTGAAATGCTTTGTATCTGTATGTGGAAGAAAGATTTTGAGAGCGTTTGGTGCACCGTTGCCTGCTCCTTTCTAACTTCACCACACACACTCCGATCGGGGCCGCGGTGTTGATGGCGCCGCGCGTGCGTATGGCGAGGAGGCCGTCGGAGTCGATGGTCGCCTGGGTCTCGCGCGCCTCCGCCTGCTTGCCCCACACGGTGGCGTCGAGAGCGGCGAAGGTGATGGTGATGTTGTCTGGCGCTGGGAGCTGTAGGACGCCACCGCCGGCGTACTGCTCGAGGAAGGCACGTGCCTCGCTCTCGCCGCTGAAGGCGACGCAGATGGCGCGCGACGTGCCGATGACGGGCACGCTGATCGCGCTCGCCGGCTGCGCCTCGCAGCCTGGCGTCTTCCTCAGAAGCTGTCGAATCTCGGTGACGAGCGCCGTCGTGTTCTGGATGTCCGGGATGTGCGAGCCGTCGCGCGCCGCGAGCGCGACGTGCAGCAGGCGCTTCGTGCCGCGGTCGGTGCCGGCGGCCGCCGCAGCGGCCATCTGTGCGGCGTCCACCATAATGGTGTCGCCTTCTTTGGCGTCGTCGTCGTTGACGCGCGCGCTCGCGAGCTCGCCGTCGAGGCGGCGCTTCACGCCGAGTCTCTGGCCATCATCGGCCTCTTGCGCGCCGTCGCGGCCGCGCGCCGCGCCCTCGGCAGCGGCAGCGTTGAGCGCCGGCGGCGGCAGGCCGGCCGAAGCGAACGCCATTCAAGTGAAGCGCCGTTCAAGCGAATCGTACACACACGCACACACACACACACTCCGCACCGCTTTTTTTTCGATCAGACGCCGAAACATCTCCAGAATGGAGGGGGTGCACTGACGGTCGGCCGCCAGAAAACACGCCTGCGTGGATCGCGTCACACCAATCCTCGCTACCCAACGCGGCCAAAGGATATCAACCTCGAGAACCTCGAGAGTGTCGTCCATGTTCTCCGCCTTCATCACACTGACGCACGCGCAAGCGCGCGTGCTCCACTACGAGGCCTCGACCGGCCACGCGCGCCAGTCGTGGTGCCCGCGCGCCGGCGCCGACCGCTACATTGACGACGGCTGGACGGCGCTCTCCCGCGCCGCGGCGCTCGGTGATGAGGCGGCGGTGGCGAGGTCGCTGGAAGCGGGCGCGCTTCCTGACATGCCCGACGGCTCCGGCTACGCGCCGCTCGCCCGCGCGGTGCACGGCGGCCACTTTAACGCCGCGCGCGCACTCCTCAAAGCCGGCGCGTGGGTGCACCTCACGTCGGGCGACGGCGCGAGCCCGCTCGAGATTGCGGCGAGGGCGGGCGACACGCGGCTGGTGCAGCTCCTCCTCAACGCGAGCGCCAAGGCAAGGCCCGGCCTCGCTTCTGAGACGGGCTGTGGCGACGGCGGCGGTGGAGGTACACCAACCGTCGAGGAGGGGCAAGAGGCAGGGGATGAGGCGGCTCTTGGCGAGGACATGCGGCGCGCGGCGGCAGCGCTGCTCGCCTCGCCGCCCGGCCTCGAGGGCTCGGCCAGCCATCAGCTAGATGCTGCACACCTCCAGATGCCCCTTAGTATTCTGAGCCGTCTGGAGACACGCGTTCCATTCGGAAGGATGGCTGAGCTCAGCGTGCGTGTTCACTACGCAGGCCACCGCAGCGGATGCAGTGACGTGACCCCCCCCACGCACGCACGCACGCACGCACGCACGCACGCACGCACGCACGCACGCACGCACGCACGCACGCACGCACGCCGCTCACCCACGCGCACTGGGCCTTGCACTTTGAATGCCGTGGGGCTCCTGTCGTTAGACGTGGAGACGCGAGGGACTCGCCTGGCCCTTGCCCCACCACCTCGTGTGTGTGGAGAAGTTTACCTCACCTTACTTACCTTAGCTAGCCTTCGATGTCGTGTGAGAGAGATTTTACCTTACCTTACCTTACCTTAGGCCATCCACCGGCTGGTCGAGGCGGGGGCGCACGTGCGCTGCACTCATATTCGCATCCTCTTTGTTGTCATCATTCCTCATTGCCTACCAGGCGGGGGCGCAGCACGCGCCCTCCTTGCTCAGGTTCGATCTACATTATCATGACCCATTCCTTACCACAGGCGGGGGCGCACGTGCGGCTGCTCGAGGCGCTCTCTCGCGCGCAGGCGGGGGGGCATGCCGAGACGGTGTGGCGGCGCTGCGCGGCGCGCGTCGCTCCCCGGCGCAGTCTGGTTGACCATCCATCGCCTGCATGCCGCAGGTGGCGGCGCTGCGCGACGCGGCGGCGCGAGCGCGTCGCTCGCTCACCGGCGAAGCCGCCGCCGCCGTTCATGAGCGCGAGGCTGGCGAGCGGGGCGGCGGGGCAAGCGCGCTCTCTCTTCAAGCAGGGTACTACCCGCCGGCGCTCGGCGGCCTGCCGGCAGCTCTCATTTCACGGCGGCGGAGAGCTGAGCTGCCAATGAGAGTCCATGGTATTCACAAATGAATAGGCGGATCTCGTGGCGGCGGCGGAGAGCGACGTGCGCGTCATCGAGGTGTGGCTCGCAGCGGGCGCCCTCTCTGCGGTCAACGACACCGCCTCGCTCGAGGCGCCGCTCTGATTCCAAACGGACACGCGTTGCTAGCGAGAGAGCGCCGCTTCATTGATTGATTCATTGATGTCCCGCGGAGAGGGAGAGGGAGAGGGTGGAGGGGCGGGTACCTAAGTGGGTCTCTCACCGCGCTCCTCTTCCTCTTGCTCGAGGCGTCGGTGGTGGAGTTGCTCGGCCCGTGGGGAAGCGAGCAGGCGCTGCAGCGGCAGAGGGGCCCCTGGTCGTTAATTGTCATGATTGACTGTGCTCATTGCGGGAGTAGGCGCTGCGGCCGCAGAGGGCGGAGGGGGTGTGTGGCTGCGGTGCTGCAGCGGCTGAGGGCGCGTGATTGGATGACGTGAGGCAGCTTCTCTCGGACGATAGGTTGCTGCGGTGCTGCAGCGGCTGAAGGCGCGCGGCGGGGGGCGGACATGGCCTATTACGCAGCAGCAGCGAGTCACAGCAATGTATTATGAGTGATGATTAGGCGCACGGCGTGTGGGTGGACATGGCGCTGCGCGTCTGCGGTGGCTTCTACCCCCCCCCCCCCCCCCCCGGCGCGCGCCGCCACACTATGCGCACACGCACACACGCGGAAACTCCGCACCGCTTTTTTTTCGATCAGACGCCGAAACATCTCCAGAATGGAGGGGGTGCACTGACGGTCGGCCGCCAGAAAACACGCCTGCGTGGATCGCGTCACACCAATCCTCGCTACCCAACGCGGCCAAAGGATATCAACCTCGAGAACCTCGAGAGTGTCGTCCATGTTCTCCGCCTTCATCACACTGACGCACGCGCAAGCGCGCGTGCTCCACTACGAGGCCTCGACCGGCCACGCGCGCCAGTCGTGGTGCCCGCGCGCCGGCGCCGACCGCTACATTGACGACGGCTGGACGGCGCTCTCCCGCGCCGCGGCGCTCGGTGATGAGGCGGCGGTGGCGAGGTCGCTGGAAGCGGGCGCGCTTCCTGACATGCCCGACGGCTCCGGCTACGCGCCGCTCGCCCGCGCGGTGCACGGCGGCCACTTTAACGCCGCGCGCGCACTCCTCAAAGCCGGCGCGTGGGTGCACCTCACGTCGGGCGACGGCGCGAGCCCGCTCGAGATTGCGGCGAGGGCGGGCGACACGCGGCTGGTGCAGCTCCTCCTCAACGCGAGCGCCAAGGCAAGGCCCGGCCTCGCTTCTGAGACGGGCTGTGGCGACGGCGGCGGTGGAGGTACACCAACCGTCGAGGAGGGGCAAGAGGCAGGGGATGAGGCGGCTCTTGGCGAGGACATGCGGCGCGCGGCGGCAGCGCTGCTCGCCTCGCCGCCCGGCCTCGAGGGCTCGGCCAGCCATCAGCTAGATGCTGCACACCTCCAGATGCCCCTTAGTATTCTGAGCCGTCTGGAGACACGCGTTCCATTCGGAAGGATGGCTGAGCTCAGCGTGCGTGTTCACTACGCAGGCCACCGCAGCGGATGCAGTGACGTGAACCCCCCCCCCACCACCACCACCCACACACACACACACACACACACACCACCACCACCCACCCACCCACACACACACTCCCCGTCTCCCCTCACTATCCGCCGCCCTCCTGCCGCCGCACTGCTGCACGACAGGATGAGGATGGTCCACGTGGATGAGGCTGGCGAGGTCTGGGGCGGGGAGGAGGAGCGAGAGGCACCGTCGACGACGAGCGCCGTGATGCGCCGAGATCGCCGGAGATCACCGGAGATTGCCCGAGGCGTGTAGGCCGTCGACGATCTCGACGACGAGCGCGCTTTGGTGCGCGTCGAGGAGCGCCGCGCCGACGTGATCTTCTCTGCTTTCGCCCCGTTCCTTGCGCCGCCACCGAGGCCACCGCCGACGCCAAGACCCACGCCGCCACCGACACCGCCACCGACACCGCCACCGACACCGCCCTCGCCAACGCCGCCGAAGCCACCGCCGCCGTCTCCGACAATGTCCACGCCACCGCCGCCGCCGCCGCCGCCGCCGCCGCCGCCGCCGCCGCCGCCGCCGCCGCCGCCGCCCTCACCGCCCTCACCGTCGCCCTTACCACAGCCGAGGCTCAAGCAGGTGCGCCCGGCTGAAGAAGCGGCACCCGATCCTGGTCCTGTGCACATACGCGCCCGACGACACCGAGAAGCTGAGCTCGCCAAGCAGCGCAAGCAGATCGACGCGCTCGGCTCCAAGGCCGACGCGGTCAAGGCCGAGCTCGACACAGTGCACACGAATGCGAGAAGCGTGGTCCAGCGGCCTGCATCCCTGTCGCAACCGCCACTGGAGCCGCTCGGACTCGGGCGCGAGGAGCTGGAGGCCAGCAAGGCCAAGATCGCGGCGTTTGAAGTCAAGGGCGGGATCACCAACTTTGCCGGACCGAAAGACGCTTTGCCGGACGCCCTGCGGCCCTTCATCACCGCCACAGGAACAGGCTCCGTTCACCTCCAGGACGTTCGGGTAGATCTAAGGGCCGCCACAGGAGAGGGCTCCGTTCACCTCCACGACGTTCGGGTTGGCAACTCTCCAAGGATGAGTACCGGGAGTAAGGGCGGCGGCAAGGGCGGCGGCAAGGGCGGCGGCAAGGACGGCGGCAAGGGCGGCGGCAAGGGCGGCGGCAAGGGCGGCGGCAAGGGCGGCGGAGAGCTCAGCTGCCAATGAGAGTCCATTGTTAGCTGACCTAATCAATGAATAGGCGGATCTCGTGGCGGCGAGAGGGTCGCACGGGAGCTTGCTGCCGCAGAACGCAAGAAGCAAGCCGCGTTGAAGCAAGCTGCGTTGCGGAAGAAATACGGGCGCGGTACCGCTACTATGCCAGATGGCTCTGTTACGCTCATCGCGACGCCTTCGGTCGCACACCGCTTCGCACCGGTGGTGGCGTGGTTTTGGCACGACGTCGTCGACTGGCTCTCGGAAGGCCGCGTTCTCAGGGGCAGTTTTCGGCCCACCTCTGCCGATCTCGCCGTGTAGGCGGATAGCCGCGCGTATTTGACGCCGCCCTCCGAGGCAAGATTGGACGCCGTGGGAGCGGCGCGGTTGTTTCGTGAGAGGTCTGCATGAGTGAGTCGATGCACGTACAATAGGACGCGCATGAGGGCGTCAGCCCCGGCGAGTGCGCCTCGTGGGCCCGCAAGGGCGAGTGCGCCAGCAACTTGCCTTGGATGGTCCTTCACTGCGCCGCTTCGTGCGCAGAGCACTTGCCGCACTGCCGCGGCGGCGTGTGCTTGTACGACCTCACGGTCCCGGCGGAGGCGCGGCAACCCGCCCCTCCCACGCACCACGCACCTAGCACGCACATGGCACGCACATAGCACGCACGCACGCACGCACGCACGCACGCACGCACGCACGACCCCGCTCTCCCTGCTCGCTTCTCCAGGTGGAGCCCGCCGGCAGCCGCCGCACCGTCAGCGTGAAGGGCTTCTCGGCGGTCGGCAGCGACGCGGCGGCGAGGCGGGCGGTGGAAATGGGAGGGACTTTGGCCCTCACCTACGAACTCACCTTTCCGGTGCCGCAACGCCCACTGTGAGCCGCCGCGCAGCGAGGGTGTGGCTATTCACACCTCCCCGCTGTGAGCAGGCCATCGCCGCGGACCGCCGCCTCCTGGTTGCGGTCAACCACACCAAGCAAGACAGCGAGGCGTGGGCGGGGCATCCGACCCTCTACTACCAGTCTGGCTCGCTGGTGCACTCCTACATCGTGTGTGACTTCTACCTGTCCGAGATCGCGCTGGGGATTTCTTTCTTGACCGGCTGGCTCTCCCTCATCGCGCTGCGAAGGCAGCTCTGCCAGATGTTCCCCGAGTGGGCGGAGGTGGCGCCGACGTGGGTCGCACACGCGCTGCTCTTTGCCGGCCTCGTCCTCCCTGTTTTCCTTGGGTGGGTGCGCGCGGCGCCTTGGGAGCTTGGACCCACCACGAGCGAATGGAGTTCACTCGCAACTGATTGGTTCATTAGGTCCGGGGGATGATGACGTTGCTAAGACTCACCAGCCCATCGACGGTGTTCGGTTGGCAGCTTTTCATACGGCTGGATTGGCTGCAGCTCGCCAGTTACCTCGCGGTCCGTGGCCGCATGCGACGTGCTCACATGTTGTTACCACCGGCGGAGGACTACGTCAACGGAGCAGTACAGCGGCTACTCGGGTGGCTGTTGGACGCCTCCAACGTCGTCGACTGGCTCGCGGTCGCCATCTTCGAGCTGCCGAGGAGCCTCCTTGCGCTGTCGATCCGTCCGTCCGTCGTGCTCGTCCGCTGGCTAGACAGGCGGCTCCGCATCTCCTCGGGGGAGATCGCGATCGGAGAGTCGCTGGGCCATCTCGCGGCCACGCATGGAGGGTACGCGCTCTGGACCCCGGTCTTGGCTGCTTACCCCGTTCTGGAACTCGGACTCGCGGTGTTTCGGAGCCCGTCACAGTGGCTCGCCCTCGCCCTGACCCCGGCGCGCGTCCTGACGGCTCTGCCGCTGGTTGTGCTTCTCATGCCCGAGGAGGTCGACGGAGCACTGCGACTCTGCATCGCCGCGCTTCGGTCGGCTGTGGTCGGCGGAAGGCCACCAATCGCCGCGCCGCCGCCGGCGAGGGACGCGAGATCTGGGCCGGACCCTCTCCCCGCCTCTTGCCGCCGTAGGCTGGTCGCGTCTGCATGTTGCGCAGCGGGCGTGAGGATCGTTCAGGCGGTTTGGCGGTGGGCCGCCGGCGCCGTTCTCCAGGAGGAGGTCGAGCACCGCGCGAACACGCGCCGCGTGGCCGTCGGAAGCCGCGTCGTGTGGATAAGCCACGATCCCGATATCCCTGTGGGCCAGATTGGCAAGGTGTGCCAGTCGTAGGAGTAGCAGCAGAAGCAGCAGTAGCAGCAGTAGCAGCAGTAGCAGCAGTAGCAGCGGTAGCAGCGGTAGCAGGAGTAGCAGGAGTAGCAGGAGTAGCAGGAGTAGCAGGAGTAGCAGCAGTAGCAGCAGTAGCAGCGGTAGCAGCGGTAGCAGCAGTAGCAGCAGTAGCAGCAGTAGCAGCAACAAAGAAAGGAGTTGCAGTAGATATCCCCGCGGGCCAGATTGGCAAGGCGTGCTGCCGCGCCGGGAAGACGGCGGGCAGGCACCGGACGGCGCCACGTCACGCCCGCCGCGCATGAGCAGGTCCTGTCGCGGGCGGCCGGGCACGCCGGTGAGTTCTGCGTGCAGTTTCCAAACGGCACTTGGCGCTTCGCCGAGTCGTCGTTGAGGGTGGGATGGCGCCCGAGAGGGTGCCGGGAGCTGCGAAGGAGGCGCCGTTCACGCGCGTCTCTTGCGTGCAGGTCGCGCCCGAGAGCGCGTCGGAGCAGCGGCAGAGGCTTCGGGCAGCGCAGGGGCCCGGTGCCGGCGACGTCGGCGGGATCGCGGCGCGGCAGCGGAGGAGGAGAGGCTGGACCGCGAGCCAGCTGGAGGAGGAGAAGCAGCGCCGCCAGCAGGAGCAGTCCCGGGTCGCGCAGGCAGCAGAGTCCGGCGGCACGCAGGGCGTACAGGGCGCGGAGGCGGAGGAGGCTTCTGGCGCCACAGTGGCCGCTCGAGTGGCAGGAAGTGTGATGGAGTGGGAGTGGTTCGCCATAGCCATCACCGTCAACTTCCTCGTCGTGACCGGGGGTCGGGTCGGCCTACCTCTTTCCCTGGCGCCTCGCGTCCTCCTCGCGCCCTCTGGGTGGACCGCTGACGGGATCGTCGACGTGGCCATCAACCTCACCCTCGCGCAGGCTACCGCCAGCCTCACGTCCTACATCGCTGGTCTCGACAATTCGACGCTCGCGGAGGCCCTCTCCAACCAAGTCTCCAACCACGCCTGGAGCCGCGCGGTGCAGCGTTGGTGTGCCGACCGCGTTGCCGACGGCGCGCTGGCGGCACGGCTGGCGGAGTATTTCAGCGGGGATGCGTTCGGCGTCGAGGCGGCGCTCGACAGTGTGTGGACGAGGGTGCTGGCGCCACTCAAGGGGCTGGCCTCAAGGGGCTCGAGGGGCTGGAGCTGGTGCAAGGCGTGCGTCTCGCACCTTATGCATAACCTTGCGGCGGGAGGGACGGGCCGTCGCCAGCAGGGACCTTCCGCGCACGAGGGAGCGCAGGACGGCCTGCATAGCGCGGACACGCAGACGACGCCGGGACTGGCGCGGCAGGCTTTACGCCGCGGCTCAACGTACGCGAGCGACGATGGCGCGTCACCCGGAGCCGGCGGCGGCGGCGAGCCGAGTGCACCAGCCGACGGAGAGCCGCAGAGCGCGCAGCAGCCCGCCGTCGCCGTCTCGCTGGCAAACGCCGCCTTCGACACGGGGCGGCCAGCGGCCCCCGAGTCGACCCTCGGCGGTGATACCACGTGCATCGTGTGCTTCACCAACCCAAAGACGCACATCGCCGCGCCGTGCGGCCATCTCTCCGCGTGCGGCGCCTGCTCCGCCAAGATGGAGCAGTGCCCCTACTGCCGCGAACCGGTGATGCTATGGATGCAGCTCCGTATGACCTGAGGCGGGCGAGACCCGCCCGCGGCCGCGCTGCGCGCATACGTAGCGCCGGCGTGCCGCGAAGCGAGCGTGTGACTAGAGCGGTGTCGGAAGCGCAGGTGAGAGGTCTATGCGTACCGCCCCAGTCTCTTTTGCAGAGTGGGACACTATAGAGCCGTACGTAGTAAGGTAAGGTAAGGTAAGGTAAACTTCTCCACACACACGAGGTGGTGGGGCAAGGGGGGGCAACCCTCGCGTCTCCACGTCTGACGACAGGAGCCCCACGGCATTCAAAGTGCAAGGCCCAGTGCGCGTGGGTGAGCGGTGTGTGTGTGTGTGTGTGTGTGTGTGTGTGTGTGTGTGTGTGTGTGTGTGTGTGTGTGTGTGTGTGTGTGTGTGTGTGTGTGTGTGTGTGTGTGTGTGTCACGTCACTGCATCCTCCGCCGGTTCCTCCCGTCGCCTCTTCTTTGTTCGAATGTTTTTCAATCCATCCTTCACGAAGCCCTCCCATGTAGCTAGCGTTCTTGGCGAATGTCTCGAAATGGCCAGCAGGCGCTGTCTGCTCGCGGTCTGTGCGGGCCGCTCGTCCTCCTCGCCCTTCTTTCGTCCTCCCGTCCCTCCCCTCCACCATGGCCTTCTCGGCACTTCTTTCTCCATCCGCCTCGCCCTGCCTTTTCGCATCGTGCCGTTCGCCCTCCATTCGGTGACCTCCATGGCTGTCCGCCCCTTTTTGGGTGGCGCTCTCGATACGGTTGCGTCAACCTCGACGTCGCTGTCGCCCTCCCCGTCCCCGCCGGCGTCCGTGCCTCGGTTCGCGTCATCGGTAGCGTCTCCGTTGTTCCCTCGTGCCCCGCCGTCGCCCTCTCTGCTCGGGCCGTTAGCGATTTCGCTCCTCCTGCGTGTCGCCCCTCCGTCCCCTCCCCTTTCTTCGTCGTCATCGTCGCTGTCGCGAAAGCCCTCCGGTCCCTCGATTCCCTCGCCTATCCCCTCCGCTGCGTCGTCCCAGTTTATATCCTCATCCTCTGCGCACGTCGCGTTGGCTTCCTCTCTCCCCCTTTCCTCCCTGCCCCTCTCGCTGTCTGGTGTTAATGGACCCCCTTCCTCTCCCTCGCCACCGTCACCGTCTCCATCCCCGTCGCTACCGCCCTCCATGCCCGCCGCCCTTTGTTTCACACTCGTCTCTGCCATGTCCGCCGTCGCCGCCGTCCTGTCTGCTGCGCTCTGTGCTCCGTGGTACAGTCGCTTATTGTTGCTCATACCTGATACGTGTGCATGCTCCCTTCACCACCATCTTCCTCCGCCGCGTATAGGTGTGCCTTCGGGTATGCTGTTCCTGCTCCCTGTCGCTCTATCGCGTCTCGCCTCGCAACTTCGATGGCGTCGCAGTCCTCCATCGTCATGACGGTCCCTCTTGCAGCCGCTCCGACCACCCCTTCCATCGCGGCGTTCATCGCTCGTTGCATCTCGTCCGCATTTAATTGCGTGAGCGCGCCCACCATTTTCATTAGCCGCGTCGCTTCCCTTCTCGTTTTTTGTCTCGCCGGTTCCATCCCCTTCTGCCACTGGGCGGTTATCGGGGTGCCCAGGTATTTGTAGATCTCGACCGCCGCCGCTTCCACCGCCGTTTGTCTCGCCGTCTGTACGTCGTCTTCTCCCTTGCTCGTCTGTCCTCTCGCTGTCGAAGTCGCCCTCTTGATGCTGCGTGGTGCCCGTATCTGTGGAATTTCCGTCCCGTCGAGGAGTCGCATTGGCGCGCCTTCTATGTTTCGTGCGATCCCATTCTC